GCGGGGGTTCTGTGGCCAGGTGCCCAGAGGAGGGACCCTGCTTGAAGGTCCCTGGAGCCAGGTGAATGCGCGCTGCGAGGTGTACCCTGGGGCTAAGGAGGCCAGGGGCTTCCAGCGTTGGGAACCCCCATGTGTTTATACACGCTGATTGCCCCACCCTGGCCGCCAGATGCCTTCCTCCAATTTTTGGAAAGAGCTACAGCTGGCACTGCCGCGGAAGGTGCAGTACAGAGCGATGGAGGGAGACCCCCAGACCCGGCTGCAGGATGACAAAGACCCCATGCTGATTGTGGGAAGCCGGGTCCCGGAAGGTCGGAGCCTGGACCCAGAGCTGGACCCTGACCCTGAGGGGGACCTGGGTATGCCCACCCCTGACCCTGGGAAGCTCAGCCTTGTTTGGAGGAGGACTGCATAAGGTGGAGGAGCTGGGAAAGGTGTCCATGAGGTGGGGACTGCCCCCTGCAGCCGAGCACCTCTGGCTGCCTCTTTCCATGGAGGAGGTTGAGCCCAGGGCCTGCCTGGGAACTTCTGGAACCTCAAATGCTACCATGCAGGAGGGGCAGCAGGGAGTGACTGGCAGGAGGCAGGCTGTGAGCAGCACAGCCTCAGGCCTGGCGGTACCCCCTCCATAGGTGTACGAGGGCCTGTCTTTGGGGAGCCATCAGCTCCACCGCACGCAAGTGGGGTCTCACTTGGAGAAGGCCGCGGCAGTGAGGTGGATATCTCGGATCTCGGCTCCCGAAACTACAGTGCCCGCACGGACTTCTACTGTCTGGTGTCAGAGGAAGACGTGTAGTCCGGGCTGGAGCAGCAGGACCACCAGGGACAGCTAGGGGCAGGGCAGGGTGGCTTTTTCCCCTAGTTCAGCAGGACCACGAGCCCCATCTACCTGTGGCCCTGGGACCTCGGGGAAAGGGAGTAGCTCCAGTCTTGTGCCACAAATAAAGTCCTTTTGAATCTTACCCGGGTCTTGGTCTCTCCTCTCCTGGGGCAGGAAGCGGGCATCCAGTGTCTTGGGCAGAGCACCCCTCATTTCTGTCTCAGGCCCTCCAGGGCCCTGGACCCCTCCCTTTTCTCACCACATGGCCACTCGGTCACCAAATCTGGCCAGCCACACAAACCCACTCTCTCCCCGTCCTCCTCTACCCTGACCCAGCCAGACACGTCTTTTGCAGTGGCTTCCTCAGGTTTCCCTGCTTGGTGGAGTGATGTCTCCAGTCTCACTCCGATCCAGACAGACCCTGGGGGGGGGGCAGGCCCCTAGAGACTTCAGATTCTAAACTTTGCAGAAGAAGCCTTTGGTTGTAAAAATATCAGTGGGAGGTTCACAACCAAATGGCCTAACTTGGTGAGATGGGGAGGGGCCCCAGCACCTAGGACCCCAAGCCTCAGACAGACAGCATGAGTCCTGTCGGGGCACCCCCAGGCCCAGTGAGGCGGGGCAGAGAGGTGTTGGGTGCATGTGCCACATGAGCCCAGCCCAGCAGGGCAGCACCAAAGCCAGCAGCAATTCCAGTTGTCCCAGGAGCAGTCATTGCTCTGCTCGCAAGGTCCCCGGCTCTGCTGCACCAGTGCTTCACTTGGGCTGAGGCTGCCCCTGCTGCTGCCCCGTCTCCTCCACTCTTTGGCCTCCCACTGCTGGACACGCCCTCCTCCCTGTCCTGGGTCTCCTGACACGGAGACGCCTGTGTGTGGGCTCAGGGCGGGTGTCCTCAGGGGTGGGCATGGTTGTGCTGGAGGACACTGCTGAATCCTTGGATCCAACCCCCAGGTCTGGCCAGCCCAAGAAGCACGCAGGGCTGTGGCTGCTGTGTTCACGGCCACCTTTATTCCCAGCGCTGGTTGTCCCAAGGCCCTCCTGGGCCACAGCCAGCCCCACCTCTGCCAGTCACCTGGCCACGACCCCACGCATCAGATCAGCCTCAAGCCCTGCCCCACTCCCTGCCCTGCAGAAGCCAAGTCCCTAGCCACAAGCCCCTGTCCCCTCCCCCATGGCCCATGCCTTCAAGTCGCACATGAATGGGGCTCCGTTGAGAGGCCCCTGGGCCATCATCAACCTTCTCAAGCTGGCTGGCGAGCAGCCCTGAGCTGAGCCCGTTCCTCGGAGGCCGGGTCACGTTCCGTCCTCCTTCTCCAAGGAAGGCCTTGCCTATGGGCCCAGGAAGTCCTCCTTTCGGTAGCCCTTCTGCAGTGGAGAGGGAACCCAGGGTCAGGACGTGCTGCCCTGCACCTGTCCGCCCCAGTGTGCTGGAAGCAGAACCCTGGTCTCCCCGGTCTCCTGTGCCACACGGACTTCCGCGTCCCTCCCCGCCGTCCCCAGCCCCCACCCTGCGCTTGGGGCCTGCCCACCCTGGACTGTGGACATACCGCCCGGAAGTCTCGGTGGAGCTTGCTGTACTGCCACAAGTTGGCCAGGAGGCTGGAGGCCGCCCTCGAGGACTTCTCACTGTCGGGGCTGGGGGCAGGGGGCAGGGGTCAGCAGGGCAACGGGCATGGCCAGAGATGGGGTGGGCTGGGGCACCCTGGGCCGGGTGTGAGGTTGGACCCTGACCTGTCCCGCATCTTCTTGAGGAAGACCAGCTTGCGGAGTCCATCGAAGTAAAGCAGGTCCCGGGCGGCGACTGGACTGGCCACCACCAGGTTGTTGAGCACGGCTATGATGTTCACCAGCACGTCAGCCGGAGGGCACTTCTCACCCACGCTGCCAGGCAGCTTCTCGATCAGGTGACTCACCACCTTGGTGGCTGCCAGGAGGTGGGAAGGTCAGGCTCTACCGCCCCCCCAGCCACCTCGGCACCTTCCATGCCTGTCTGTCCACTGGCTCTGGCTTTCCAGAAGCTGCCCAATGGGCAGCAGCAAAGTCCAGGGTTGAGCCCAGCCAGGCAGGGGAGGCAAAACCCTGGCTCCGGGACAGCCAGACTCACACATCTCATCCTTGTTCCTGGCGTTCCGAGACAGGTTTCGGATGAGGCCAGTCAGTGAGCGCAGCTGGTGGTGGTCAGCGGTCCGAACTCGGTCCAGCAGCGGATTCAGGATGCGCTCCTGCTCCAGAGCCAGCCGGCTCAGCACGCCTGCCCACTGCAGGTGAGAAAGGGGCTGGTGAGCACAGGTGCCGGCCCTCAAGGCCCCAACCTCCCTGGCACCTCCCTTAAGCCCAGCGCAGACCTTGAATCCTCACAGGCCCCTGGGCCTGTCTGGGATGCTGACCTCATGCTTCTTGCTACCCCTCAGAATCCCCTGCCTTCTAGTCCCACCTACTCTGCCCGGAGGTCGGCACCCTCCACTGCCTCCTGCCTCCTTTCCTCTCTCACTCTGAAGTTCTGGCTCCCCTTACAGACTGTAAACTCCCGGAGAGTGGGCTCCCATCTCCTGTTCACCCCTCGTGTCCCCGACACGTGGGCAGGTGTGGGTCAGGCCAGGCACAGCCCTGTGGTGCCCAGGACACCTGCCGGGTGTCCGCAGGGGCCCTCACCCTGCGGTCGCCCGCGGTGATGTTCTGCAGTGCCCCAGCGGCCGCCTCAGTGGTGTGCCGGTTTAGCTCGCAACGCTGCAGCAGCCGGTTGTACAGCCCCACGATCTGGGGGCTCCACAGCCACTCAAGGCCCTTGGGGTCCTTAGACACCTCGGCAAAGGTGAGCGCGTCAGCCATGAGGGGCAGCTGGGAGAAGAGGGCAGAGGGTCAGCTGCGGGCAGGCCAGCACCTCTGCTCCCACCAACCCAGGCCCACTCCCACCTCTCGGAGCCGCCGGCTCTGCGGAGTGAAGCAGCCCACCACCTCGCCGGGCGGCGCCCCCGCCACGTCCCGGCGGCCCCGGCCCTCCAGCCGCTGCAGGGCAGATGGCGGCATCTCGTCATACAGGCGGTAGGACAGGTTCCTCAGCACGCACACGGCATTCTCCACGCTCTGCAGAGGGCGGGCAGCGGTTAGAGCAGGCTGGAGCCCCTCAGGCCCCCAGGCACTGGCCGACCCTCACCTTGTCCTCACACTTGCCCACGTCCAGGGCATGGTTGATATAGGTGACCAGGGCGTCCACCAGCCCGTGGCACTCACGCATCTTTTGACGAGTGGCCTGGGAGGCTGAGCTGAGGTTCCTGTGGGTGGAGGCAGATCAGAGACTGCCACAGGGACCCCAGGCAGAGCTAACCTCCCACAGGGACACCCCCCAAACAGCCACAGGGGCCCAAAACCAAGGGCTGATATCCTGAGCACCAACCCTCTCCTTCCCCTGAGCTGGGCCCTGCCCCCGGCACCTCCTGCTCCTAGTCCTGGGATGGGGGGGACACGGAGGCCCTGACCCCTCTGCCTGCCCATCCCCAACCCACTCCTCAAAGTGCCTGGGGGCGGAGAGAGGTTATAAATGTCAGACCAAGTCCCTGATGTAAGGAAACCTGAGCCTGTGAACCCAAAGTCTGTTGACGTCTGACTGGGGGACACACCTGATGGCCCGATCCCCTCCTGCATCAGCACTCTGCCTCGCTTGTCTGTCCACATCTCCCAGCCCGCGGCCACCTCCGCCATGTCATTCAGACCTCAGACCCAAAGGCCCCTTCTCGGGCCTCCCCCACCCCGCCCAGCGCACCTGAGGAAGCCCGTGGCGTTGTAGAAGATCTCGGCCTCCGAGGCGTTCTGCTGGATGAGGGGGGGTCCCCCAGCCCCCGAGAGGGGGCTCAGCACCAGGTCTGTGAGCTGCTCCAACGTGTCTCGGGCCAGGCGGTCCTTCAGGTGGTCACTGGAGGACAAGTTCCACAGGATCCCTGCGGCAGGGGGCCAAGTCTGTGGTCAGGGGCAGCCCACCAGCCCCTCTGGCTCTTCCAGGGATGGTGGGGAGGAGGCTCCTGACCTCTCTCTCCCTGGGCCCCGCCTGGCACTTCCAGCCTCACCCAAGAGCCTCGATGGGGAGAGCCTGAGTGTGACCTGCAGGGTCACGGGGCTGCAACAGAGCAGAGAGGACACTTGGGGACACGGGGCCTGGAGTCTGGGGTGCAAGGTTGGCTCCAAAGAGACAAGCCCCAGAAACAGCGGTGGGGACCCAGGGAAGAGGCAGGCGGGGCGGGGTGGGGTGGCCGAGCGGTGGGGCCCAGGGCCACCTGTGACGTTCTTGCGCAGCTCATCGTCCTGCTCGCGCAGCGTGCGCAGCAGCTCGAAGATGCCGTTCTCCTCCACCAGGGCCAGCTTGTTGTCCGCGCTGTCATACACGAGGTTGCGCATGGCGCCCGTGGCGTGGCGCTGCACCTCCTGGTTGGCGTGGTTGAAGAGCTTCACCAGCCTGGGCACGGCCTGAAGGCTGCGGGCCTGCAGGCACAGGCATGCAGGTGTCAGCACGCGTGCAGGGGTGGGCGCGCATGGGTGTATGCAGGTGGATGTGTGTATGTGCGTGCAGGCTTATGTAAGTGACGCAGGTGTGTAGACGTGTGCCAGTACATGTAGGCGTGTACGGATGCTGTGAACATGTGCACTTGTATAGCGCTTGTACACTGATGTGTGCACGTTACCCCAGTGCACGCAGGCACGTGCAGACGTGCGGATGTAAGCAGGTGTGTGGGGATGCGTTCAGGTGTGTGCAGGTGTGTGCAGACGTACACAAGTCACTCCCTCCTGCCCGTCCTCCGTTGAGGAGGCTCTGAGCAGGACCAGGTCTGCCCAGTCAGCTTGGGGATCAGCAAGGGGTGGTCAGGGACTGGAGGGCAGTGAGCGAAGGGGGGCCAATGCAGGGTGTCCCCAGGCCGGGGGCCACGGGCAGCAGGGTGGTCACCTGCTTCTTGGCCGTCGCATCACTGTAGCACTTGTGTTGGATGTAGGCCGCTCCCAGCACCTGCAGGTTGGGGTCTGAAGCCATGAGGTACTTGACTGCTGAGGGTAGGTCAATGTCATCAAAGCTGCAGAGACAGGCGGCAGGTGTCAGGCTGACCCGGGGACGGACTAGGGTCACGGCAGAAGCCCCTCCCGGAGCCAGGCCCAGCTCACCCGCTGCTGAGCCTCTGCAGTGTGCGGTGGCTACCGTAGCTGTCCAGCGCACGCATGTCCGGCAGGTGGCCCGAGTCAGCCAGGCTGAGGCTGAGGCTGCGCACGGATGGCGCCCGGGTCACAGGCTCCAGGACGGCCCCCGGCGGCCCCGCAGGCCCCGCACGGCTGCGGTGGCTGCTCTGGAATCGCTGCAGGGTTCGCATGGCGGGGGCACGGATGGTCCGGCTGGGTGGTCCCTCGGTGGGCTCCGGCCAGTCCAGGCCCCCAGCCTGGCCAGAGCTGGAGCTGGCATGGCGTTCGTAGGCAAAGGACCTATACGCGGAGGCAGCGGACGGCTCCAGGTGCTCGGACATCACACTGTAGCGGTCATCCGGGCCCCGGCCCCAGCCTCAGGGAGCGCAGGGACAAGGTGTCATAATCCACCCGGCTCCCCACCCTGCCACGCTCATGGAAGGACACGGGCCGGGTGGGCATGGGTGCAACAGGCTGGGCAGCCCCGTACCCGGCAGCCCCAAAGGCAATGCCCCCGTTGTGGGCAGAGCTCAGCCTCCGACTGGAGCTCAGGTCCACGGCCGAACGGGAGGACCAGGAAGCAGGGCTGTAGG